ATCTTCTAATCATAGTGAAGAGATTACATTTTCAGGGGAATTTTGTAATAATTTCAAAAGAAAAGAGAGATGAACTTAAGAAACAAATGAAAAGAGACTTCAATCATTTATAAATGGAGTTAAGTGTCGAATCCTGTTATAAGGGCATGTCAAAGGTAAACAAAGTTGGACACTAGTAAAAGCAGTAAGTATAGATTTTATTCAGTAATAATTCTTGTGATAAGGAAGAACGTCCAGTGTCAGCTGAACTCAACTTCACCAAAAATAAGACTGGGACCTTTTTAAAGGCTAAGGTGCGTTAAGGGAAAGGCACTAAGGGCTGTTAAGGGAGATTGGTCAATGCGACTAGATCATCTGGGTTTGTTAATTGGTGCTTATCTAGAGGAGAAAACAAGTCTTCTTATCTTTATGACAGGAGGCAGTGGCAGCAAGTCAGAGCAAGGCACCCACAGGGCTCAGAGGGAGAGTGAGAGCTGTCTTCCTGAATGTTCGCACTTCAAAGAGAAAGCTCTCAGGTCCTTGAGAAGACAATTCCAGGTGGTAGAAGATTTACATCCTAAAGGGGCAGAGAAAGGATTTATAATTGCAAGCTTTCTAAAGTAACCGCTCTAAGAGGGGGTTCAGAAGCCTATTTGCCTATCACCAGATTTTGGCTGGAAAATTCTTCTGTCTGAATTCAGCTTTTTCAAGCAGGCACTTTAAAGGGGCTGAGATCATTCAAGGAACATAGACTTCAACTGTTAGACAAGATGCTAGTGTTTGTTCAAGTCCCCTAGTATGTGTGGTGGGGGGATGGATGAAGTCATTTGTACTGAGAGTCTGCAGTTTTTATAGGTCAGGCGAGCGTTGAGATCTGATGAAGAAGAGGACTCAGAGGAGTCTGACTAGAGTTTGGTCAACGAGAGTATTTGTGAGGTAATAAAAAACTTTAAAAGAAATTACAGAATTAATGATAGGTTTAGGACTAAGGAAGAATCGGTAGGGAATAGCTATGAAAATATTGGCATTAAATTTATGTATTTAATTTTAAATTTCAATGTCAATTTTTTTAACCTAAAATCTGTGACTTAATTCCACAGATAGTATTAGAGACATTTCAATACTGAGAGAATAGTGATATTTGAAATAAGCTAAAAGCATTGTAACAATTTTTTTTTTTCACCTGCTGGGCATGATGACATTTCTTTACAGTAATTTTCTTGAAAAAGAATGTCAATTGAACTAAAATGGGGCAAATACTTTGAAATAACTGCTGTTTTGAAATGCTTATGATTACAGGTGAACAAACATATTTGGAGGAACCAAGAACTGAATCTATTTTTTTTTTCTTCTAAAATAATAGCAAACTTGAATTGAATTCTAAGAGAAAACAGTTAATGCAATTATTTTCCTTTTCTTATTACTGTAACTTCTTTGATGGTGACAAATAATATGAAGAAGAATTGACCCATATAGAACTTTTAAAAATGTGGAAATATTTTTAAAAGCCTTACATTTCAGCCCATTTTGAGCTGGATAATTTTCCATAGAGAGCAGGAAATATTTGAGGTATATAAGCAAATATTACTACAATCTACCAATTATTAGATGGCAGGCTTTTTAGCACATTTCAAAATACACACAAATAATCAGTTTTTGAAAACTCAAAAATATTTTAAAGCAAAGAAAAACAAAATTTATTTTGGCCTTATTACTATGTACCTGATGCTATACAATAGTAGATAATAATATGGTTGCAAAAACAATTATCTGCTATTTCCTTTAAGGATATATGAAATTTTCCCAAGTATACAATATTGGCTCAATTTTTTGTCAGTTGTGTGATTTTAGACAATTTTACTATTTTTTTTAATTCACCAAATATTTTTAACTGCTTACACAATGTTAGACACTGTGCTATCCGTGAGGTATACCCAGGTAAACAGAAAAGACATTTTCTATACCATCATGGAGCCTGAAATTTGGTAATAAAGTAAAATGATTGCATTGTTTATCTTGTTCCCATGACCTCATTGAATTGATCCTAATAACCAATATATACGGTACAATGTACACTTCACCTAACTTAAAAATAAATGCCTGAGGCCAGTAAAGGACAAAGTAATCTGTTCTATGTTAGAAATACAGATCAGACTATAGATATAGGAAAAGTTAAGTAGATATTATGCATATATGTGCATATGTATATAGTTGTTTATTGATTAACATTGAGATAAGTCAAATATTCAGATCATTGATGTGTGTGCATCTTTTTTGAAAGATTTGTACAACTGATTTTGCACAGCTGATAAAAGGCTCAGCCTAATCTTTCTAGTGATAATGGAAACATTGAATTTACTTTACATATATGGGGTAAAGGAAACTATACATCAAAGTTTTATAGAAATGAATATATTCTATTCCCAATTCTTATCATATAGAATTAAATTTCATCATTGGATTAATTTTATCATCATTTCTATACCAGCCCCTGGGAGAAAAAAAACATCCAAAGAGGGCTTTCTTATATTTATTTATAATATCCTGGGTCTAACTGTAAGAATTGAGTTCAATGATTAGTATTTCACTGAGGAAGGCAATTAATAAGACCTACAATCTGTCCCCTTCTTTTTATAGATGAATGTTCTTTGAATAACGGAGGCTGTAGCAACCACTGTTCTGTTGTTCCTGGAAGAGGAATTGTCTGTTCCTGCCCTGAGGGACTTCAACTCAACAAAGACAATAAAACATGTGAAATTGTGGATTATTGTAGCAATCACCTGAAGTGCAGTCAAGTGTGTGAGCAGCACAAGCACACAGTCAAGTGTTCATGTTACGAAGGGTGGAAGCTGGATGTAGACGGCGAAAGTTGCACAAGTATTGGTAAGTAGATGTTTTGTGTGTCTTGCTATATTTAAAAACAGAGTTTGAGGGGAAAAATCCCAAAAC